GGCAGTTGATACAGTAGCCGTAATACATCTGCCCATCTGCAACATGTGGAAATAAAACCCTGAGTACGAGAAGGTACTTAGCTAGACTTACCCGACATAACCGAAAATAAAGTGACACCAAGGATTATGAAGGGCTTTATAGTAGGGTGGCTGACTCATTTGCAAAAAGAAGCATCTTTAGCATTTCAAGAACCTTTCTAAAAGCATTATTGTCAAGTTAATTATTTATAACCTGTCGACTAGATTTGCACCTACACTAGAGCAAACATGTGATTAAGCCAATAATGATAACCCATGATCATTAGCAACTTCCATATTGTCATATTCATTATAACTGTCCAAGTGTTCCATCAATATTACTACGATGAAGTCACTCAAGTCAAGTGATCACTATCCAGGAGCGATGGCGATTTGAATCGATTCCTAACCAGCTGGTGATTTTATTCCTTACACAAACCTCACTCACCCGCTAAAGTGAGGTATTGATCACCGAGTCAACTATCCAGGAGTCTCGAGTTTGCCAGGAACCACATGTACCCGGGGGCCGACCGACTGCACTTTGGTCTTATCATCTCGCCCCCGTGTCCTACCACACCTGCTCCGGCACAGTGCGCTGCGGGCAATCTACTCGGCCCGAATAATCTCCCAGCTTCGCGGTCGGAAGGTACTTTATCCGGCCAGCTAAATGTAAGGCATGCGTTCAACATGACTCGAGGCCCAACAACGGTCGGTCCTTAATCGACACAGACGAAAAGCACTACAGTTCAAAACTCTGTAAGTCTCCGTCCGGTCTCAACTTCATTTAACACTTAGTGATACCATGACTATATAGTTATCCAAGCAGAGCCAGGTAACCACCTATAGCTCGCAGGTGACAGGAAATCACCTGACTTCTACCGGTCTAAGCCAGCTAAGCATTGACTCGACTGCGGATACCAGGGTAACAAGGATATAGTATAACAAAGGTAGACAAGGTATAATGCAGCAACGGTTGCAAACAACTCATGAACGTAATGCATCAATTAAAGTAAAGCATTTAATTAATAATTGCAAACCGGGAAGAAAATGCTCTGGGGCTTGCCTCTCTCGAAGGAGCTTGGGCGGTGATCGGAGCACTACGGAAGTTCCTCAACGTCCTCCTCGTCGGCTTCGGACACTTCCTGCGGCTGTACCTCGAGCTGCTCCTCGGGCTCCTGGGGTATGACGACTGGGTTCTCGGTTTGCGATCCTGTATGATGCAATGTGCGTAAGTGCTTATGCAAAAGTGCATTGGATGAAATGAATATAATGGATATGCTTGAATGCAAGGTAGTCAACATCATCCAAGAACATATATTCTAAGCACATGTCATCTACTGCATTCTCTTCTACTACTAATATGCTAAGTCAACACATCTTATTAAATGCTTCAAAGATACACCAAAACTTCACTAATTTCTTAATCACACATAAAACAACACTTGATTAAACCCTAATTAATAATAGGTTTGAATAGTAACATCTATTTTTATTGCTTAGAAAAATCTTAGAAAATTACCATAGCACAGTACTACCCTAAGTAGTCTACCATCAGATTTTCATGGTATTTGAATGAGTGGATTAGCCTACACAAAAATAACAAGCTATGGCATGATTATGAACATGAAAATACTTTGTACTGTGAAAAATGTCAAACAACAGAGGAAATATTTTTCATATGTTCTACACAGCAAATAATCACTGTACAAAAATTATCACATGCCTGTTTTATACAAATTTTGCTCTTTAGCAAAAATAACAAAAATCAGCCATTAAAGGCACTTGAACTACACCTCATACTTTTTCTACAGCACATGCATGACACATATTTTTCCTAGGAAGTATATTACATAAGAAGATTAACAAACTTATAATCATATTTTTCAGAAGCCTATAGGTTTTTCTACACATTTTTCAAGTTATCAGCAATATCAAGGATTAAATAAAGCTCTATAGAAAAGTATCTCAAAAATGACATGCAATATTTTTATCATGTAGATATGGTGATAAGGAACCTAGCAAAATTTGTTTCAACAGATTTAGAGCAAATTTGAGTATACAAACATTTTCCAAATCATTTCTCTTTCCAAATAATAAAAGAAAAACTGAAAACGAAAACTTCCTATTACTACTGGGCCGGCCCGTGGAAACCAACTGGCCCACGGCCACACTCGGCCTGCTCAGACCGAGCGAAGGAGAGGGCGGCGGCCTGGCTCGGGGCTTCGGCCCAAGCTAGTCTGGGCCCAGCTCGACCGAGGCAAGGAGCCACGCCGGCGTCGAGACGCCACGGCGGCGCGGACTCTGCCAGCGGGCCGGCGGTCGTTGCCGGCCGGGTCAAGGCAAGCGGGCGAGCACGCGGGGTTCGCAAGCGAGTGCCGAACTTGAGCAGGCAACTAGAAAGGGTGGAGGAGGGGAGGAAGGATGCGTTCCACGGCGACACCATGGCTGACGGTGGCTAAGCGCGCAAAAAGGCTCTACCTTGGCTCAAAGGCGTCACAACCGTGAGCACCAGGTGCCGGAGAGCGAGGCGGAGCTGCTGGCGGGCTGAATCGAGGAATGAGGCGCGGGAGGAGGAGCACGTCGCCGGCGTCGACTGCGGCGCTCGGTGGTAGAGCTCGCTGCGCTGCTGCGAAGGCGAAGGGAGGAGACGAAGGAAAAGAAAAATGGACGGGCGAGCGGTTCTGGCAGGCGCGCGGGGGCTTAAGGCGTGGTCAGCGGTGCCAGGACGGCCGCGGCGCGTGGCCGCGCGGTCAGGAGTCCGGCGACGGGTGGCGCCACGCGGCGGTAAGCTTCTGCCGGCGTCAGGACACAGGCGCGCGAGTGCGGGCGAGTGGGAGGCGCGGCGTGGGCTTGGGCCGGCAAGACAGCTGCTGGGCCAGGGCGAAGCGCGCGGCGCTGCGGGCCAAGACCGTGAGCGGGCCAGAAGGGAAGCGGCGGCCTTTTAAGCGAAAATGAAACAGTTTTCTTTTTATTTCTCGAATAAACAGAACTCAAATTCCATTTTGAGCCATTTAAAAGTATTTTCACAAATTGGTGTAAAAATGAAATTTGTTCCATTTTTTAATATCTACAACTTTCCTTTTATGACCAAAGTCCAATTCTTGATAGATTTTGAATTATAAAATTAAAGTCAATTTTAACTCAAAACCCTAATTTTGGAGAATTATTTTTAAAGCAGAATTTGGCAATAATTTCAATGCAAACTTTGCTCCAAAAATTGCGCTAAATAATTCTAGATGATTTACAATCATAGCCAAACATGTTTTACTAACCTAGCAAGCATAATTTGGGCAAAAGCAACTCCAAACAAGTGTATGCAGCATTCACGTTTCACGAGCATGTTTCGTATGTTTCGAAGCAGGGTTTCAGTTATTATTTACATGATTAGGCATGTATGATTAGGATGCTTGTGATGCATGATATGCATGATTTGCAGTGCCTAAATGCTGGCATAACACCGGGGTGTTACAGAAAACAACACCGGATGAGATGGTTTGGACATGTCAAACGAAGACCTCCAGAGACACCGGTGCGTAGTGGAATCCTAAGCCAGGATAGTAATATGAAGAGAGGTAGAGGAAGACCGAAGTTGATTTGGGTAGAGGCAATAAAAGGAGACTTGAAAGGATGAAATATACCCAAAGATTTAGCCTTGGATAGGAGTGCTTGGAAAACAGTTATTCATGTGCCTGAACCTTGATTGCTTTGTTTAGGACTTAAAGGCTTTGTTGTTGTTGTTGTTAAAACAGCACCATGGAAGACTCTACATATAAATGATGCAAACTCAAGCATAGAAAGAAATCAGCAATTATGAATTCCCATTTGCACTCACCAGTGCAAGAAAGATTCAGACGAGAGAGAAAATCAACAAGAACTCAAAGTAACATGCCTAACAACAGTGATCTACTTGGAAAAACCTCCTCAATGCGAGGAATCAAAACCACGAGACTGATAGTCCATTTCCATATCTTCAATTATTAACAACAGGTACACTTGTACAATGGTGTTTCCTCTGTATCGGTTATCACACCTAAGAACAACACTAGCATGATTACCAATCCAATTCTGGCCCAATGTTAGTAAAGAAACTACCAGTTCCTTGCCATTTCAGATCACATTTACACTGTCATCACCACTCAACTTAGGCTGATATCAGATATTGTGCGGAACTCATATGCAACCTTCTTTGATTCCCAAGTCCCAACAGCCAAGATAGAGAGCAAGTGGAAGACTTGTATATGCCAGGAGAACTTGTGGTGAATGTGCCTGGGCAGAAAGAAGCAATTCTAAAAAAAGAGGTAATTGCATTTCTTATCAAGGTAATTGCATTTCTCGACACTAGAACGCAGTCGCTATTTTTTAGATAAAAATATCTAATGCGGATTTTTCAAAGTAGTTATATCTTCCAACTGGCATGAGGAAAAAAATAAACAGGACACCTGCAATTGTCGCTAAGATAGGGTTTGTCCCTTCAACTTTTGAGTATCAAATAAGGTTTTCTACTAAATTTCACAGGCTGGTGACCAATTTCCACAATATGACGGGCACAAATGATCTCCCTAACTGACCAAATAACGAGAGAGATCACACAGCATACAACATAAAGAAGACAAACGAAAATAAGCCAGGCAGAATTGCGAGAACTTTACGACCTCAGATCTACTTCAGCAGTTGAGAGAATAATTACTGCCACTGCTTGCCAGACTCCGATGAATGCAGTAGAAACATTGCTAGATAACAATGGTCAACATAGGGCAAAGCATAGGAACACAGCCCAGACACATCAGCTGACATGAAACAATACAGATCTTAGCAAAACTTTGCACGACAAGGTACAATATATAGTAACATGTTCAGATGATGGGACTTCATTGAGATGGGAACAATCTCCAAACCATAGTCGAAAAGCACCAGCCTAGCAGGGATTTTTTTGAACAAAAAAGACATCATTCTATAGACTACTCATAGAACATAGTCTAAATTCAGGCTGCGGTGAAAGCCTTCTTGCCAGCAGCAGCGGATCCAGCTGGAATGACTTTAACGACATTGAACCTCACAGTTTTTGACAGGGGCCTGTGCACAGACAGAAACATATGCTTCAGCAAAGAATCATAATTGTTGATGCATAAGATCTTCAACTAAACTCAAAACATTTAGTATGTTCAATACGGGGGCAGTTTCGTTTCATTGTTGAATGTAGTAGGATCTTGACAAACCAGGTAAGCTGGACTTGAAAGAGAACAAGTGATCGGACACAAGTATTACCTGCACTGGCCAATGATGACATGGTCACCTTCCTTCACACGGAAGCATGGGGAGATGTGAGCTGGAATGTTGGAGTGCCTCTTCTCATACCTGTAAGCACATGTAACTCATGTTATAGAAACAATGAAGTTCATTTGGAAGACAAAACATGAGTCTAGATTCCACGAACAGTCCACTTACCTCTGGTATTTCTTAACAAAGTGGAGGTAGTTCCTGCGAACAATGATGGTTCTGTTCATCTTAGCACTGTGGCATGTTCCAGCAATAATTCTGCCTCTGATAGAAACGGTTCCAGTGAATGGGCATTTCTTGTCAATGTAGGTCCCTGTGGGCAAACAAATATTAAAGATCTGTTATGAATGCAAGAACAATCACTAAGAAATTGATTATTTTCATGTGCCATAGTACTTGGGATCATAACCTCATTGTTTTCAAAATAGGAATTGAAATTTGGAGCCAGACTACCAATTTAATTTAATTATTTAAGACAAAAAAATATACTAAGCAGGAACAAAAAATCATTCAGAACAGGAAAGTAGTAAACAGGAAGTGTTATCCTTCACCATCTAAAACCAGGTACATCATATCATAAGGAACATGACCTAATCACATGTTGGTGTTTTAAAATGAGGGATTGAAATCTAAGCATTTAGAACTCTAGTTCTTTCAGTATAAAGAGACAACCATTTGTCCTTAATTATCTCAAATAACAATGCTTGCCTTCAAACAACTTTGAAGATAGAGCTACAGATGAAGGAAACCATTTATACCTTCAATTGCTTCCCTGGGAGTCTTGAAGCCAAGGCCAATGCTCTTCCAGAATCGGTTGCCTCCTTTGCCTGGCTTCTTACCCTTGCCAGATTTCTTTGAGCTATAAAATTAAGAAGAAATCTACTGTCACGAAATGCATATAGCTCATGGAGAATAGAAAGCATGGAAGAAGCAAGAAACTCTCACCTGAGGAAAACCTTAGGCTGCTTGAGGAAAGCCTTCTCAGTCTAGAAACGGGATATAGATAGAAAACATTAGAACTACTTTGCAACTAGCTGGAAACTGCTGGAATTGCTTATACACATGAACAAACAAAAAACTTGGCAAATCCCTGACTACTGCAGTAAGTGCTGTGCTCTGAAATAATCAGAGTGACGATACTTACTGCTATAAATGCATCACATCAAAATGGGATCCCCATCAAAATAACACATTAAACCTAGAAACTAGAACTGACACTGTATCATCAATAAAGGCTAAAACTGCATACAATGGAACTGCTGCGATAAAGTTTACACCGCAATGTCTCAGAATTCATTGTTGGTCACAAAACATAATTCCATGTACCACAATAATCACGTCCCTCTAATTACCAACTAGCAGAGTCGCAACATTATAAAATGATGAGTGAGATTGACAAGCCCTACCACATCTAGCCCAACTGAAACCTTGAAACCCCCGTCAAGTTCTTGTGTCCTTAACTATAAATCCTGGACAAACGCTTGACAAAGGATGCATCACTAGATTCTACCATGATCAGATTCTACCAATTTGCAGACCCCCACACGCTGACAAATATGCAACAATAAGAGGTCGATAAGATCGAAAACATAGATCCCAACAAACCAAAACTCACTAGCAGGCGCAGGCATCAGTACACGTGACCAAACCAGATCAGGGACAAACAAACCAATCAACGCGAATGCGCATCGCATATAAAACTGCCCCGAGCTAGTGACGGCGAGCGGCGAAGCAGAGGTCGTACACGGGAAGTAGCCCAGAAAGAGCATTACCTGTTCCGCCATGGCTGTGCGCGTTGTGCGTCGAGCGGCGAAGCGGCGGCGCGGCGGCGCTCGGGGGCTGCGGAGCTGAGACTCGGAAGGAAGTGGCGGCGCGGCGGAAACCCTAGGGAGCAACTTATAGCGGAGCGAGAGGGGTTGGCTCGAAATTTGCAGAAGAGCCCCTGCATTTTCGTGCTAGGTGCCCTCATACACCCCTATAGACTATAGAGCAAGTGTGAAGGCTGGCCCAAACGGCCTATTGTTCCCACGGCCCATATTCCCGTGGGCCTGGCCCGCTAAATTTCAGTTACTACAGCGTCCGTTCGCAGTGACGCCATGAATGGAGCCAGTGCAGACCCCGAGCTTTCGCCAGACTGTCCGATCTCACTGGCCGCTTAATCTCATCCGTCCGCTAGGAAGCCAAAGGCCACAAGAGATCTCCCTCCGTTCCCCTCCTGTCCGTCGTCTGCATATCTCCGGCTCGCCGTCGGCGTTGCCTCCTCTCCTCCTCCTCCTCCTTCGCCCGCTAGAGGCGCCCGAGCGATCTCACCGGTGGGTTTGCTGAAGTGACGTCGTCCAGGGTGGAACTGGTTGTGGCTTCCATTTCTATTTCGAGCAGCCTTGGCTTCCGCGCCGGCAGTCACGGAGGTAAGTCCAGCGGAGTGAAGATCCACCTGGAATTCAATCGGTTTCTCGGATTGGAGACCTATGAATTCGATTCAGCCGGTTCTTTTCCACCGATTCGTTTTGTGTTGGAGATTTGTGAATAAATCGTGTGGTGATCGATGTTTCGTTGCAGTCGTGCAGTTGAGTTGAGATGGCGAACATTCCCCCCTCCTTCGCCGGGGTCTCGCCGCCGTCCCCCTCTCCGATGGCTGGCAGCAGCAGCGGCCCCGCCGTGGGCCAGGCAGCCAAGGATAAGAAGATGGCGTCGGCGGAGCAGCTGGTCCTGGAGCTCTGCGACCCTGAACTGCGCGAGAACGCGCTGCTTGAGCTCTCCAAGGTTGCCTCCACAGCTGTTGTAGCTCCCGCTCGTGGGGGATGATTTTCGCATAGTGATCTCTACGTTAGCAGTTGGATTTGTGTGTGAATTATCTCTTGTTGATTGTTGATGTAATTTTGTGCAATTCGATTTGTGTGATTTGTGCTTATGAATTATGGTCGTGCAGGGTTGTGTCATGCTCAGCTGCAGGTCTTCTAGTTGGCAAAACCTTTTCAGACACTGCCAAATATCACTTGGAATCCAACATGCTCACGCTGTCTGAATCGGCAAAAGGTTTTTAGAACATGGGTGTTCAGGGAATTGTCATGCCTAGTGTTACTCCATCACGAGTGCGGGTGGAGTCATACTCAGGTGCAGGTGTCCGACTTGGCAAAACACTTTTGGACATGGCCAAATTCACCCATAATCGAAAATGGGTATGGCTGTCCAAATCAGACAATGTTTTCAGGAAATAGGTGTCCGAGTAACTGCCGCCCTTAGCGTTACTCCGTTGCAAGTGTAGGGTAGAGCCATACTCATATCCAGATGTCCGACTTGGCAAAACATTTGACATTGCCAAATACCCGTCCGTATCTGACACGTGTATGGCTGTCTGAATCGGACAAGATTTTCAGGACATGGGTGTCCGAGTAACTGCTGCTCTTAGTGTTACTCCGTTACGGGTGGCGATGGAGTCAAACTCAGGTGCCAGTTTATGAATTGGCAAAACACTATTGGACTTGCCAGATTCCACTTGTTCTCCAACATGTGTACAGCTGCCCAACTCGGGGAAGCTTTTATGACATGTGGCCCTCGTGACATTATCCAGTTTTGTCGGCCTAGTTACGTTTGTGCTGTTTTGTAGCCCTAGATACGTTATGCTGTTTTGTCGCCCTAGATACGTTATGCTGTTTTGTTACCCTAGTTACGTTATGCTATTTTGTCGTATTCGATTGTCCTAGTTTATTAGTGATTTGGTGTAAGAATTATTCCATGCATTGATTATTTTCTGATCGCTTTACTTGATTGAAAGACCTCAATTTTAGCTGTATGTCTTCAATTTTGATAATGGTCTCAGCTTGTAAGCAGTATCTTGGGCAGCAGTCATTCGAGATTTCCATTATGGGGCACATTTATTTATTTTTTGAATGAGCTTGCTTTGATTAGCTTATCCATACTTCCGTAAATCTTATGTTGCTATTGCAAAATTAGTACCTTAGTTGTTAGACTATGAATGGATGCCCAGATAAGTGGCTTCAAATTTGGAGTACCATTTTGTTCTTAAAACTGAAATTAAATGATTGTATATTTGTACATTCAGTCGTTAACATGAAATAGCATTTTGCAAGGCAGAACTACTTGATATTTAAATGTATCCATTTTTCAGAAAAGGGAGATTTTTCAAGATCTTGCCCCGCTGCTTTGGCACTCGTTTGGCACAATTGCTGCTCTACTCCAGGTATGCATAGTTCCTGGCCCTTCAATAGATATGATTTTAATACCTGTAATGACAAAGGACTAGTAGCTAGGTTTGAGGATACTTTACACTTTTTGTTGTGTCCCCGTGATGAATCTGTTATTATGCTAAGTCATTTTTTGTCTTAATAGAAATCAGCATGGCATTGGTGGCCATAAGTAGTGCAACTTATTTCTGGTTTAACCCAGTCTTTCTAACTTGTTATGCTTGGTGACCTGGAAACATATGCAGGAGATTATATCTATTTACCCGTCACTCTCACCCCCCACACTGTCACCTGGAGCATCAAACCGAGTTTGCAATGCTCTTGCACTTCTTCAGGTGCGCCTTTTCAACTAACAGGAGCATAGCTCAATGTTTTGGCTTCTGGTTGCTGCTACTGTAAGGGTACACGTTTAGGTTTATGGCATACCTTTGTGTTTAACTTTTTTTTTATCGATTTCATTAACTATTGCAGTGTGTTGCATCGCACCCTGAGACCAGGATCCTTTTCTTAAATGGTAACAAGCCATGCCCTTGCATAATATTGTTTAAATACACGGAAATGGTGTATTATTAAACCTACCTCCTGCCTCTTCCTCATTGTCTCAATTATGTATATGATAACTATTATTGACAAAATTTAAATTCTTTTCAGCTCATATTCCACTGTACCTGTACCCATTCCTCAACACTACCAGCAAAACGAGACCTTTTGAGTACCTAAGGCTTACTAGCTTGGGGGTCATTGGTGCTCTTGTCAAGGTAATTTTTCATTATTTGAGTACCTAGGTGCATGCTATGTGATAAACAGATATGCTAGTTTTTCAATACAATTATCAGCGAAGATTCACGCAGTTCTCTTGTGCTGCTATGTGATTAGCACAATACAATGCACTTACCACTTAGTGTATTTGCCTTCAGTTTAATTAAATAATGAAATTGTTCATGGAGAATCTGAACATAGCATGATAGCTACATCGTTACCTGAGACAAATCACAAGACGAAATAGCAGCTTTGTTATTTGTTGCATTGAGATGTTCTTTTATTGTCAATTTATCATGCAGCAGTAAGAACATATATGCTACCTTTTGGGCCGTTCCCTTCATTTTGTTAAAAAATACATAATGATATAATCAGTACTTACTTGCTTAGGAGTGTGGGTGTGTGTTGTAAGGGCTCTTGCCCCTTTTTCTTCTTAATACAAAGGTATGCAGCTCTTCTGCGTGTTCGAGAAAAAAGTACTTACTTGCTCTAAAAATACCATTTCTGTAAATGAAATTTTTCCCTTTTTATTTTGGTAATAATGCAGGTTGACGATACTGAAGTCATCAGTTTTTTGCTGCAAACTGAAATAATTCCTCTGTGCTTGCGAACCATGGAGATGGGTAGTGAGCTATCCAAAACTGTATGTAGCTAGCCATCTATTCTCATTCAAATATCAGCATTTATCTCTTCTGCTTAATACTGCAAAGGTGTAATAGGTTTTTTAGTATGTATTTTGTCATCTGAAGTTTATCTGGTGCACTACTACTTTGCTACCATCAGTTATCTCTAGAATATTCTTGGCCTGTACCAGCCTTCTCTCTGATAAGCCTAACTTTGTACAATTAATAAGCCTAAAAGGTGACTCATACAAGGAGCCTAGAAAAATGTTTGTCCATTCAGTGACTGTCCTAGACTTTTATCACTAGAACATACCATTCTGTTGATCCATGTGTCTCATGGACCACACAAGCTCTTGTTCACCTACATTTGTAGCCCTCGGTCACTAACTTAGCTAAATATGCATATGTGAGTGGCTAGCAACAGGGTGTTGGTGTCTTGGGTTATTTATTCTCTTTTATTGTGTTTGAATGTTTTCCTGCACATTTGCAAAAAACATCTTAGATCTAGATCAATATCTAAATAAGATCAGATGTGAATTGTTAAATTTTCATAGTATCATGTATTGAAACATAGATCACATCAAGTTTCGCTTTCATGTCCATGTGTATCAGTGGGGGCTCTTGATGTATTTCGTCAAGAACCAACAACCTGCAACCACACATGCTTGCTTTGGACTGAAAAGGTTTGTTGTTTATGCAGGTGGCAACTTTCATCGTCCAAAAGATTCTTCTAGATGATGTTGGGCTGCGCTACATTTGTGCCACTGCTGAGCGTTTCTTTGCTGTAGGCAGTGTTTTAGCAAACATGGTTGTTTCACTCGCTGATCAGCCCTCCACAAGGCTGCTGAAGCACATCATTCGCTGTTACCTCAGGCTGTCAGATAACCCTAGGTCTGTGCTATCATTCGTATTCTGCGAAGTTATTTTACACATGTGCCCCCAACAATATATGCAATCTGTTTAACTTTCCCTTTCTACGCAGGGCCTGTGCTGCATTGCAGAGCTGCCTTCCAGACATGCTCAAAGATGGGACATTCAATAACTGTCTTAGGGTGAGCCATGCTCTTACATCAGCTATCAGCAACTCAATATTGCAATCTTCCCTAACAAATGCCTGCAAAATTAATTTTTTTGAATAAATACTAAATATACCAACTTACTGCGACAGGATGATCCAGCGACAAGGCGCTGGCTCCAACAGCTCCTGCACAATGTGACAGGCGGAGGCATGGGAGTAGCTCCTCAACCAGGCATGGATCCCATGAACATGGGAATATGATATGCAGTTTAGACGTTGCAATTCACGTCAATAACATAGCACCTCTCAGTGAATTGCAACTAGAGAAGATCTGGCCAGGTAGTCTGACTTTCTGCCGGGGTAAAAATAGGAATGTTGTGTGGTATTGTCATAAGCAGTTAAGCTGATGTGCGCCTGTCTTGTAATGCTGTAGAAACAAGCTCAGCAGGCTGCTGCTTTTGTGTTCTTGCACCGGAGCTCTTGTGCGTTGACCCTTCAGAACCTGAGAACAAAGTAGGAAGAACCCGTCCCGTGAAGCTTTCTCGCTGTGCCGATCGGTCGTGATCTAATTGCTTTTGGATGATGTCGTAAGAAAGCATACCGAAAAAAAGAGTACGGCGTGTGCTATATTTATCAGCGAGCATAGTGTTTACCAGTTTATGGGTTGCTTTTGTCTTTCTAATTGCGTCGTGTATCAAAGGGGACGGCTCTTAATTTGTCATATGACAATTGATTAATCGAGTAATTAATTTTTGTTTCCCGGGTACCGAGCAATTAATTAATCGCTCCAGTAATATAATAGTATATTCGTATGCCATTGAAGGGGCATGTTTGGGATGCATGAAGTGAAATAGTCAGGAACTGAATATGTTCAGTAAAATCCTTCGATATCATTACCCTTTTCTTCATTTTGCATCGAAACTTCCAAGTTTTCCTAGTAATCCTCCTAGCTGGATTTCAAGTTTTCAGCTTGAAAGTTGAACATAAAAGGTTCAGGTTAAATCTTAAACCAGAGAATTATAGTTTGATTATGGTCTCTTTGGTACGGCTTCTAAGATGGCTCCGACTCAAAGAAGCCCTACCAAATAGGATACCAAAAACCGTTTTTTTTTCCTCTCAAGCCACCAACGAGCTAGAGCCCTCTTTGAACTAGAAGCCGGAGTCAAAAATTAGCTTTTATTGGCTCCTCTTAAAAATACTCTCTGAAGGCATTTTATCGAATGTTTTTTTACAAAGTGCTTCAATTTCAATTAAAAAAAACTACTCCATTAGAAGAGCTCGTTTTAAAAGGACCGGAAGCCCTGCAAAACTGAACCTACAAACAAAAGAAGATGTGAGCTCTTAACTTGAATATAAACGGAAGTCGCACCTGGTGTCCTCAAGAGTAGGCTATCTTCTAAGTTATCTCATCTTCCATGAACTTAACACAATTCTAGCTGAATCTAGACCGATACTCAATGAACTATCATCTTCCCACTCATATATTAGAGGAACTAGACTAGTACAAAGTCATTTAGAAAAACTATTCGATGAACTCATCGTTCCTTTAAACTGAACACCCACATAGAAAATGAGATGATAATGTTTACTTAAGAGCGCAGAGGCACGAGCCAATAAGATTTTCACCATACACGAGGCTAAGATTTGGGCCATAGAGCCTCACCAATGCTACATACTAACTAGTTTATTGGCTTCAGCTAAAAGGAGTAGAATAGAGCTCATGAAACTCCCTTGGGTCTGGTACAAGTACTCAGGTTTATTTCTTGGGATCAACCTCTCTTTGTTACATGCACTGCAAACAATGCTTCCACTTTTCGATAGATGAAGCCATTGACTCTTGTGCATATGCTGCGAGGCCACTACTCATCACGATATGGATTCCAGGAGAAGATGTGAAGATACGGGTTATAGTCCACGGTGGTGTGTTAGGGCTAACAACGGAATATGGAAAAGAAGGAAGAAAAACCAGACTACACCACGTCGGACCAGTGACTCACAACAACTCACAATCTTTCCTCCCACAGGCTTCGCTGCAGCTTTCAGAGCCACTCAAATCCCCTTCCCCTTCTCTACACACACGAACGCAAGCTCCCAAGAACGTATCCCCCGTTGGATTTGGAAGCTTCTCCATGGGACACCGAGGCTCGTAGACGAAGCAGAGGAGACCAGAGAAATCGAAGAGCAAGGAAGCAAGAAGCAGGGAGCCATGGCGTTCCTCCTTCCCAAGCTCACAACGCCGTCAGGCCCGTCATGCAAGTTGCCCCCGAGTTCCCTCCTCAAGCCCCAGCTCGCCCAGCCGGGCCACGGCGGCGGCAAGATCCAAGGCTCCGGCTCCGGCTCCAGCTCTGGCGCTGCGCAGGTCGCGGCCCCGGGCCACCTCAGTCTCCTTCTCCTACTCAGCGCCCCGCAGCAGGCAGCAGACCCAGCGTCCAAGTCCACGGCGACCAAGAACCGGGGCAAGGGCGGCGGGGATCCGCAAAGGTCGGATTTTTACCTCAACCTCGGGACGGCGGTGCGCACGCTGCGGGACGACCTGCCCGACGTCTTCGACCGGGAACCCAACTACGATATCTACCGGTGGGTAAAAAGAGCCATTTTCCCTTTTGTGTTGCTATATTTTAGTTAATGTTGGGTTAGGCCTTTGAGAATCGATCACGATTGTTGTATGAATTGGATTAAGTTGGATTAGTATGCTAATTGCTGATCATAGAGAAGTTTCCGTGCTGCTAATTCTAGTTTGGTATTTCGGGGGATTGAGGTCAAACATAGAAATTGAGCAGCTAATGGTCACTTGGTGTTTACATAAATACAGGAGTAGTGGCCATCATGAAACATAATGGTGATTTTTCAGTGATGCCAGTCATAATTCTAGAAATGAAGTACACTAATTGTTTGCTTATTTCACCTAGCCTTCTAGTAGAACTGATAATTTGTCATAACTCATATGCAATATTTAGAACTGAGAATCAATAGATGAGCAACAAGTTTATTGCTTGGTTCTAAGACTAGGCTGTTATAGGGCAATGAGATGCAACAGTCATCATTTTTTTCATGACCGTCTATCAAGGCACATTTTTCATTAAGAGTGAAGAAGTTTTACAAGTGCTGTTAAGCCATAGCTTACTGCCCAGAGCTGAACAGACACCAACCTAACACCGAAAACAATTACAGACTATATGGCACACTAGTTTGTGGCAATGACAAATTCAGCACATGGGTGGCAATCTAGTCTTAGGATTGAGAGCCATTAGGGTTGTTTTTGGCTGTGTCCTTTTTGCAGAGGTCAGAAGTGTGGTCAAGATAATTGTAACTGTATCAGCTCTATGTAATGACCTTGAATTAATAAAATCCTTTCTTTGTCAAAACAATGAAGTTCAGCACAAAGGCAGATGCAAGTCATCATCAACAGTTTGCTATTAATTATCTCTGATAAGGACACTAGGCCTGAATTTTGCAATCTCTTGCAAGCTTATTATTTGTAGGCATGCTTCTACACTCTGTAAAATGGAAACTGAAAATATTTTTTACATCTATTGCAGTGAGGACATCACATTTGTCGACCCACTAAACACTTTTCATGGGCTCGACAACTACAAGACTATCATCTGGGCACTTAGATTCCACGGGTGCCTACTATTCAGAGAAATTGGGCTTGATGTATCACGCATTTGGCAACTGACAGAGACTTCAATAGTTGTCCGGTGGGAGCTGTGGGGCACTCCACGTGTCCCATGGGAATCATATGGCTGCTTCAGTGGGACGTCGAGATACAAGGTTGACAGGAATGGGAAAATTTACGAGCACAAAGTCGACAACTTGGCATTGGACTTCCCACGATCAGTAGTGAAAGTGGGTAGCATTGCTGACATGGTAGTCGCCACACCGAGCCCCAATTTAACGTTTTGGAATGTGGTTGGGACAGGTGATGGTTGCTCATGGACAAAGCTTTATGAAGCCGTGGTGGAAGCTGTGGAACGGGAAGAACATATAGTTCCACTGGCTTTGGCGTTGGAGGTCTACCTGTCCCCTGCAGCTTCGGCTGCGGCTGTGGCTGCAGTTTTTGAACTGCAAACTACTGTAGCTTGAACTGCTGCAGCCAGCTCAAGCGAATAGACCATCACTTGTTCATAGAATGGAATGAGCTCCAGGACTAGTTGCTTGGTGGTTCCTAGGGGAAATGTATAGAATATATATGGGCACATGAATCACGATACTACTAATATCTCTTTGTATATTGTAGTTATAGGGCAGTTAATTTAGATAAAACACATACTAGATGGCTATATTTGATTACCCTTGTGACATTGTCTCATACTGGGCGCTTTCACTGCTTTCTTATGCGATACATGGATTTTGAGTGTGATTTGTTCAATATTAGACACAGTTTAGGATGTAGAGGAAAATCAAACAACATCGGTAATTGAGGGAGGTCAAAATAAGACTTTTTCCCTCTTTAAATGTGTTGTGTTTGATTTGGCCGGAACATAAGTGGGATTTTTCTATCCTCATTAATAGAGGCAACCACGTCGTCTCAAATAAGTCATATTGTTGTTCCTCACAGCAAGTGCAAAAGGGCCTATTTGAATAAATCATATTGTTGTTCCTCACAAGTGCAAAAGAACCTATTTGACAAAGCTTTTAGAGCAGTTTCTGGGCTGAATATAGGGAAAGCTATGCAAACACTTTTTAACATTGAAATTTTTCATGTTGATCTCATGAAATTATTCTCTAAAATGAATTAGGAGGCTGGAGCTAAAAAAACAGTGCCAAACACTTCTTAACAGAGAAGTGATTCATGTTGATTCTGTGGAATTATTCTCTAAAATAAATTAGGAGGCTGGAGCTAAAAACAATCTTCTCCTGATTTTAGAGAATCATAGATAACCATTTCCAGTGCAGAATCACTTTTTACACAGAATCAGGAGCTGGATAAGCTCTACCAAACAGGCCTATTATAGCACTAAATACTTAGTCACAGCGAAGCTACAATAAACTCCGTGCACATGAAACGGTCTCAAAAACATTTTAGTAGTTTCTGGCTCGTTCTAATCATATATGCGCTTAGAGGCAGCTCATTGGCTCTCACTTCAAAATTATACTTGCACACTCAAATCATGCCTGCACAAAACACATGGATTGGAAGTCAAACAACAATGGTAACCAACAGAGGAGTAACTCTTTATACTCTCAGTGGTCCTCATTTTGCGTTCTCCACCTGCAAGAACTCAGACAGAATGCGGCTAAGTATTTTCAGTTCAAGCTATTGTACCGCTACCGCTGTTGACCAATGACCAGCATCAATGGCAATATGGCAAAGCATCGAGTAACAGGCCTCACAGTTCATCCTAGATCACTAGAACTTAAATTTGACACTACAATTAACACTACTAGCTACCAAGCATCAGTACCTTGAGTGAGTTGAAGAGCAGTAACGGTGTTGACACTAAAACACACCGTTACATACGAGCACGCCCACGAGCAGCTCGTAGAGGCGCTCCTTGCAGCATCCTAGCGAAAACCGAACTCCCCGTACGCTATATGTCGGTGTGAAAAGTGATCAACACGTAAATATTTGTAGTTTTGTCGTACGTTATGATTGGATGTGGCCTAGCACTCAATGACATAGGGTTTATACTGGTTCAGACAACGTGCCCTATGTCCAGTTTAAGTCGGTTAGTGACTTTATTCCAAAGTCTAGGTGCTCAAAGTTTCTGTGGGAGTTACAAATGAGAAGGAGTAAGATGGGAGTATCAGAGGTCCAGTCGGACTCTGGACCGAAGGACCGAGAGTGACGGGAGCTCCGACGTGCGCTAAGTGTTCGAGCGTAGGCTCTGTTTGGCTTTAGAGTTCTAGAGCCAAGCAGAGAGAATCAGTATCAACTGTCTGAATCATCCGAATCAATCGTAGGTTGTTCGAATCGTCCTCTTTTTGGAGAGAGCGCATCCCCTTTTATAGATGAAGGAGACGGCTTTACAAGAGAGAGTGTGAGAGAAAGAGAGTGTGTGTGCTACTTAGTCTTATTGCCCACGCCATCGGGTACAAGGTGGTTTGTCGGCGCCCACAATACTGTTGATGGCTGGATTCATGTGGTTGGTTCCACCGTGTTCTTTTGGTATAGCAAACGTCGGCGCCTATCATACTGTAGGTCAAATGCCGGCGCCCACAACACTGTTGGTGTTCTGACATTCTGGAAGGTTATAAAATATCCTTCTAACATGGTCTGACAGTACTGTCCTGCAGGTGCGCAGGGTACGGTCCTCGATATTGCAGTTGACTGGAGCACCCCGCCTTACTTGTTCTGCCCGTTTCCTGGGTCTTCACCGAGCGGGCGTCCCCAATCGGTTGTTCCCTAGTCGGCTCCGGCCTCTAGGTCGGAGAAGAGTTAAGCGGAGGTTCGGTGTATTCCCGGTCGAGAAGCGGGTCGGAGTCGGAATCGAGCGTCGTTCTCTCCTTTGCTAGGCCTTTCAGCCGAAGAGACGGGCCGGAGTCGGAAGCGAGCGTTGTCCTCTCCTTAGCCAGGCCTTTGGTCGGAGAGGCGAGTCGGAGTCGGAAGCGAGCGCCGTTCCTTCCTTGGCCAGGCCTTCCAGTCGGAGAGGTGGGCCGGAGTCGGAAGCGCCTTCCGGTCGGAGAGGTAGGCTGGAGTCGGAATCAAGCATCGTTCTCTCCTTTGCTAGGCCTTCCGGTCGAAGAGGCGGGCCGGAGTTGGAAGCGAGCGTTGTTCTCTCCTTGGCCAGGCCTTTCGGTCGGAGAGGCGGGCCGGAGTCAGAAGCGAGCGCCATTCCTTCCTTGGCTAGACCTTCCGATCGGAGAGGCGGGCCGGAGTCGGAAGCGAGCGTCGTTCCTCCTTGGCCCGGCCTTCCGGTCGGATAGGCTGTCCAGAGTCAGAAGTGAGCGTCGTTCCTCATTGGCCAGGCCTTTCGGTCGGAGACTGGATCACCCTTCTGGCCTGTCGTTATGTTTTTGGGCTGGCCCAGGAGTTGTGCGTCGTTCGCAACGTCATTTGCTGGGTAGCAGGTCCATGATGGACCCCGGGTTTATGAACCCGACAGGAGCCCCCGAGCCCCCGAGCCCCTGAGCAATTCGGGTAGAATCGTCTGTTTTTTTTGTCTTGACGGTAGTGCGTCTTGAGCACACCGTGGAGTGTAGCCCAGGCGATTCGGGTAGAATCATCGGGGGTTCGTTTACTGCGGGGAATTTTTTGTTTTGACAATGAGTGCTTGCGTGAGCGCTTCCTGCGGTGTAGCCCCTCGAGCACGCGTCCATTGGTGAGTCGGTTGGAGGTCTGAAGCATCTTGGTACTCTTTTCCGGGGCCACATCATCGTTCGGGTGTTCGCCGTGTTTGTCCCCACCCGTGACACCTGTGATCGGTTGATTTCCCAAGTCGGTGTCGGGTGACCTGAGCCCCTGAGCCCCGTTGGGCTCGGTAGGGGTTGGTCTAGTTCTGTGCGTTACCCCATCCATGGTTTCTGCAACTGGAGGGGCTGAGCTAACGTCGCTTGTCTCGATGGCTCGAGTGATGCGCTCGGTGAACTCGCTAACGGGCACGTTCGAGTGGAATCTGGGTCCGTCGTTCGTGACGGGGTTGGCATAGCCCTCATGTGGCATTCCACTGCTCCTTAACCCGTATCCCGGTAGATGCTCGGGTCATTCCGGAGACCGACTCAGGTGGCCCGCTGGTCTCCCCTCGATGGAGATTCTGTGGGCATGGCTCGAGGTTAGGATTGAACGAGAAGGTTGAGATGACCCTGTTTGCCTCCGAGCAGATTGGGCGAGGGCCACTAGGGCTCATCTGCGTTTTCTTCCTTGGCTCTGTTTGACATGAGGTGGCCTCAAGCCCTTCGCGAGCCAGCCTTCGAACCCCGGTCGGTCGTTGCTCATGTCGAATGAGGCAACTTCCGCTTCATGACACAACACGGAGCGTTGTGATGCATTTAACTGCATATGCGATGCTTCGGATGTATGGGATGAATGAATGAATGTGTGAATGAATGCGTGAATGCGTGTATGAGAATGGATGAATGAATGATCATGTATCAGAAAAAATAAAGTAAGTGGGATCGGTAGAGTTACCTTGATGACTCGAGTGACATGCTTGAGGAGTTTTTATCGGATATGTCCGAATGGGATCCATGCTCATCGTTCATGATGGAGTCGGCATGGCCCACATGGGGCATCCCTTTGCTCCTTACCTATCGCTCAGTATTCGCCTGAGCCGTCCGATCGACTCAGGAAGCCCGTTGGTCTCTCCTTGGCGAAGATCCCATTGTTGGACCCTTCCAAGTCTTGCCTGAGAAGGTAGAGGGCCACCTACATGCGGTTGCGCCTTATTCCCCGCGCCCGGCGTGCGGTAGTGGTGGGCCATGCCCAGGCCACGTTCTGTATAAGGCGCCGTCTCTTAGAGCTGGGCGCATCCCATCAGTCAGGACGCGTCCCACCATGTCCCATTTGCATTGAATGGGGGAAGTGTTGACAGGATATCGTCAGCAGTCCTCCGAGGGGTTCCCCACGAAGGTAGATTGATCGGCAGAGGAGCGCGTGATCAAGAACAAGAAGACAACAGAGACACACGAGTTATACAGGTTCAGGCCATCAGTATGACGTAATACCCTACTCCTGTGGTCTGTTGGTTTGTATTAGCTATCGTATGATATGCCATGATTTTGGAGGGGTCCCTGCCCGCCTTATATAGTCCGGGGGGCAGGGTTATAAGTCGGTTAGATCTGAGAGATAACCGGAAAGTAATAACAGATTACAAGAATCATGGGACCATACGTATCCTAACAGATCTCGTAGTATCTTCAGGACATCTTCCCCATGTCTTGCGGGAGGCGCCGAGCAGAATCGTGCCTCGCAAGGCTTCGTCTCATGGGCTGGGCCGCCCTTGGGGGCACAACCCATGTGGTCTGCCGTGGGTATCCGGGGTTGTACCCCCCATAGGAAGGGAGAGGGGTTTTCACCCTAATCCTTCACATTTCCCCAACTGCTGCACCTCCTCCTTAAATAGGGGAAGGGAGAGGGCTTTTGTCCCATTCCTTCGCCTATTCCCAATCTCGCCTGCCTCTCCTTCTTCCTTCTCGCCAAGAGT